TACACATCGCCTTTATTTAACATTTCCGCATAAATCAAATCAGATTTCACAGACAGTCCTTTGTTACAGAAATGCAGTTACAACGAATTTACAAAAGGTTTATTCAAGCCTATCTAAGTTACGTCTATGTACGAACTGTATTTAAATGACTCAAGCGCTAAAATGAATAATGAGGCAGTTACCATGCAAAAGTGGACATGGCTGAAAAGTGGACAATTTATGAAATCTTTAAAACTGCAGACATCACAACGTCAAATGTGGTATCAACTTAAAGGGGGCAACAACGCCTGTCGTTTTGAGTGGTATGCCAGTGATACTGAATAATGGTCAAATGTACTTCTTGTCAACAACATTTTGGGAGTCAAACATTAGGGATTTTCGGGATTCATTTTGGCATCTTGTTTTCACATGCAAAAGGCAACGGTTATTGTGGGTTTTTGAGGCAGAGAGAAAACTTCATATTCTATACCGAAAGAGTTTATTAAGAATATATATTTCTCACATGTTTTCACTTGTACAAAAGATGCATGTGCGGACAAACTGTAACGCGAGTGAATAGTATGATATCGGTATAAGTCATAAACTTAATTTTTATTTTTTGATAATCTGCATCTTTGAAATAATGTAATTTTGTTATCTAAAATATTTTATTTGTGCATAATCCGGACAATTACTTCACTTCGAGTGCGCGCGTGATATAGTCGAACCTTGTACTTTCTGGAAACATCTCGCCAGCCGAGCTTGGTGGGGTTAATAAGTTACAGAGTGCACGGGTCGTATAGCTGGAGCGGAGCGGGTGGTTGCGTGTGTGATTATAACTCGACTTTGGTACCATTCTATTTGCCAAAGCCCTTGCTAGTCGGAGCGTCAGAACAAGATAATACCCGCAAGTCCAAAGAACATAATTGAAAAATAAGCAAATAATAGATTTAATATTGAACACTTTTTTTCTAGATTGACAACATGTACAACAGTGCTCCATAGTCAAATCAGCCTGATCTGAGCTATAGAGGCTTTCAAAGGTAAGAAAAATACATTAAAGCCCATACACCCAACCAATGAAATTGTCAATGTCCTTGGGAAAATCGCATTATATTAAATCAAGCCTGTTTAACTCGAAAATATTCTTCAACTAACTGTCTCATTATTAAAAAAAAAATTCACCAGTTTCTTTTGTTTTCAATCAATGGTTTTTATTTTTATGCTTCTGTTACCAGAAACCTCCCCTTACGCTATAATGTATACTTTAAACATCTCATTTTAAATGAAGCTTATAGCGTTTTTGAACAGTTTGGATTTCCTGAGATTTTCTTTTTTCGAATTCTGCCTATAATAAGCCTACATACGGCTTCAAAATTTCCTGATTAATTATTCTGTGCATATGCCTAGTCCTTCCGGAAGGGCCTAGTATTGTTTTCATGTTTGACCCAACACAATCACGGTTGTACAGCTAATTGCGACTCCCCCAAACCATTTGTTCTTATAATAAACGTTATCATCCCATTAATTGAATACAATTGTCTTTTTGAAACAGGTGTTTCCGAACCAGACAAGTGCAGTCAGCATACCCAGATGAGATAACCCTCAAAACTCCGAGCACAATGTAATTGCTGAAATATACTTCAACTTCTGATCTGCCTAGCATTGAAAACAAACTTAAAGAAGCAAAGGGGACTCAGTACTTCAGTAGATCGCGTACGACTTTCAAAAACAGAATAGTCCCTAATGTTGACAATCAAAAACAGTTTTCCCAAAGGTTGAGGCGGTGGGGGGGGGGGGGCTTCAACCAATAATGGAGAGAACCAACGGACGCCGAGGCGCTCGACGCAGCTTGGTGTGGAACATAAACTCCCGTGTCACTTAAATAATCACTTGCACAACTTATACAGTGAACATTGAAATTGTCAAAGCAACTGGCACCCCCCGATTACCAAAATGTTTCGATGGTTACTTACCAGAATATATAACTTCATAATATTGATTGTACATAACTTCATTTGGCTGGGTGCGTACCAATATCAACAAACTCAGCCAATCGCACCTGCAGTCTTAAGTGAAAGCATTTTCCTAGACTTGGCAACGGAAATCGGAAACAAATGGACACATTTGGCAATCCATCTAAGGATCACGGATGCAGAAATTGAACACCTCCAAACAGATAACCGTCTTTCACAAGAGCGCCAGGCATTTAAGATGCTGAAGACATGGTGGCAGCGGTGGGATCATCTTCATGACACTGAGGAGACCGGTGCTCTGAATGCTCTCTGCGATGCTCTTGAAAAGATTGGAAGGAATGATCTGGTTCTGCGTGTAAGATGTAAGTGTAAAGTTTCAAGTTACCACTATTACTTTAAAAAAAAAAAGGGAAAGGACAGAAAAGTCTTCCTTTTTTTCTGTTCTTTTCCGGAATCAAAACACCTCTGCATCTGTTTTTATTCCGTGTTCCGTAACATTACCTAGAAGATGCATCATAATTCATAATGTAGCATTTCTGTGCAATTTCGCAACTTAGTCTTCAGTCACACAGTCAAACGGGAAGTTTGAGCATTCGATTCGGTTTTAACATTGTCAAATAAGCATGTGCATGGTTCAAATATTTTTTTTGCCAGAAAATCCCATTTCTTTTTTTGGTTTTTGGTGTTCCGCCGGGAAGGCGGATTCATAGAAGTATTTGCTTACAATATAAATGCTATTGATTAGGAGTAAACTTACTTTGCCATGTGCATTTCATTGAAAGCCAATCGTATTGGCGACAAAAAAGTTAATATGATTTTCATTATTATTTGTTTTGATAAAGTGACATTTTCGTAAAGTAATTATGTCAATAGTCAATTGACAAACTAGTCACTTTAGTCTGCATGTAAATTATGTCATTTTACAGAGCATATTTTATCAGAAAATGTCTAACATTTATTTCCTTTTATAACTTTGAAACCTACATTGTTTTTCTGACATGCATATTTCATATCTCCTTCTTGAGCTTTCGTATATTCTTTCAAAAAGCTGTAGCCTACATTCTTTAATAATTTATTTCTCCAAAGTCAAGTTATTTCAGATGTTCCACATCACTTATATCACATCAATGAACACGTGTCACTTTGTAAACGTATGCACCAAACTACATGATTCCCTTGGACTGAAATCCAAAGCTCACGAATTCGAATGCACACGTGACGTAATTTACAACCGGTTGTTTTTACACATAAACGACGATATCTTGGAAATTTCCGCTTTCGCTAGATTGAACCGGCCGGGTGTGTATAAATGTGTAATGATGCTTGCCCATTTGTATGCGAATTTCAATGAATGGTTTTTATAACTGAAATTTGACAGCAACACCAGTGTTCTTGACTAATTTCGGACACAATATGCAATGTGCGAGTAAACATATTGATATACATCTATATCCTGAAGAGCGCCCAAAGTGTAATATTTTGTCCAGAGGCCCCCCCCCCCCATTGTTGGATTGTGATCATCCCCCCGCCCCCACTTGCCGGCACAGATTTAAGCCACTGCTGCCTAGTTTTCACATCTGAGGAAAATACCCTGAAATAATTTGAACTTCCCCTAAATTGAACCGAGTGTGAAAACGCTCGCACGTTTTTGTTCGAATTTGAATGAAAATTACGTTTGATCAAATGAACAAGTTGCGAAATGGGATGGGAAAACCTATAAAAAGGAAACGAATATTATCTTTCAAAGTGTCGTTTATTTAAAACATACATCGTTGTCTTTAATCGTAAGGTTCTGTGGAAGGTGCGGGACATTTCGACCCCGACCCTTACCGCGATGAGTTCATCAGATACTACCAAGACGAGATGAGTGTGGTTCCCTTGCTCCCGTGGCTTCCAACCGAGGTCAGTCGCATTTATGATATCTATGTGAAACTGAAGCTGCAAGAGAGACGGGACAAGACTAGGAAGGTGAACAATTGGAAAATTGACTCCCACGAGGACATGCTCAACCTGAAGTATGAAGACGGTGAGCCGGTCAGGTTTATCTTGCTGTCTGGCATTGCTGGTAGCGGCAAGACTACCATCGTGTCAAAGATTGCCACTGAGTGGGCAGAACAGACGCCGGGGTCTCCACTCTTCAAATTCACGTTTTTGGTAGCCCTAAGTATGCGAGAACTTAAGGGAGTTCCAGATATGACCAAGGCAATATATGACCAAATCATTGCCCAAGATCGTAAAGACCTTGATCGCAAATCTCTGACAACTTACCTAAGTTCACATGCTGAAAAAGTCCTGGTCGTTTTGGATGGCGCTGATGAGTATGATAAAGAGGGTTCCCAGTTGCCATCTGAAGGTTTCGTCACTGACATCATCAGAAACAAGATTCTTCGTGGATGTACCGTCCTTGTCACAACACGTCCCCACATGGTGGACAAGTTGTACGAGCTCCAGCCTTCTTTAATTCATATTGAGACCAGGGGTTTCTCAGACGAAGGAATCCATGAATACATTCAAAAGTTTTTCAAAGGCGAAGATCCAAAGGTGTCTATCGGGCTCTTTGGGTATTTGAAGGCATCTGGGACCCTTCTGAGTTTGGCGAGAACACCAATAATGCTGCTGCTCATGTGTCTTGTATGGTCAGACGAACAGAAGCTCCCCGGTACATTGACAGAGTTGTTCAAGGAAGCACTTGTCTTCATTTTGAAACGTCACTTTCAAAAATTCGGTTTTCCAAATCCTGAAGACAAGGAGCTACTTGATAATGAGGTGATAAATCTAGTGAAAGCGTTAGGAGGAAAAGCGCTTGATGGTCTGATGCTTCCTGTGCAGAAGTTGGTCTATGAAGCTGGGGACTTTGGAAATGATGAGGCGGTTCACGAGGCTTGCAAAATTGGAATTCTGTTCAAAGAGAAAATTCGAAATAAATTACGAGCGGTTGAACGCGTGACTTTCTTTCATAAAACCTTCCAAGAGGCAATTGCTGGTTTTTTTTGGGCGAGTCTAGTCGAGTCTGATAACGAGTTGTTTAAATCTTACCTGAGTAAGGTGGACAAGAGTAATGCCTTGGGTATGGAGTACTTGATGCGTTTTTGCTGTGGTGGAAATGTCAAAGCGGCAGAATCCCTTCTTCGCTTCGTCGAAACTTTCGGCTTGAAAACTGAAGTACCGGATGACCCAGATCATGTAAACTTTTTTCGAGACTCAAATGAGCCATTCAGGAGGCTTTGGATTTTAATGCATTACGAAGCACACTCAGAAGAATTACACAGTATTGCCAGGGCCGTCTTTAACCACGTTTTCTTGGTAAAAATGAACTGTGGAAATGATTTCACGTCTGCTCTTAAGTTTCTAGTCGAGTGTGAGACTTCTTCAGGTCAGTCATTACTAACCAAACTGAAGCAAGTCATAATTAAAAACGTTAGATCGAAAGGAGAAGCGTCACTAGTAAGTGACATATTAAGGTACAGCCCAGATGTAACAGACGTCTTTATATCTACCGACGGAGACAACAATGAAGTCTCTTGCCTTGGTGAAGCACTTTCAAGAATGCAATCGCTTGAAAAACTCCAGATTAATGGCACTAATAGTCTTGGTAATGTCAATGTTTCTGCCTTACTCAATCGCTTATCAAAGTGCCGTACAAATCTCAAAACTTTGAAATTAACTTCGTGTAAAATTAATTGCAAGGACTGGGCGATTTTCATAATGCATAGCCAGCTTCGCGAACTTGTTCTTCAAGCTGTTAGATTGCAAGATTATAAATCTCCACAAGAACTAACTGACATTCAGATTCAAACCATAAACCTGGAAACGCTGAAGATAGATGATCATTACAAAAAATTCGAAATACTACGTTTCGTTAGGTCGTATCCGAATCTTAAATCCCTGAGACTAGAAGGAGTTGATTTTTTGTCCAAAGACCTCATTCAACCTGTATGTGACCTACTTTCGACAGCTTCCAAACTGCGGGTTGTTGACTTAGAAAGGGTCAGTCTTTGCCGGGATTCCTTTCCAAGCTTTGCCGAACAGCTGAAGAGCCTTAAAGAACTGAATGAGTTGAAACTCAGCTTCAGGATAGGTTCGTGTTCAGAAGACATAATTACTCTTGCCAAAGATGTCCTGCCATCACTGCAGCGTAATCTACGTGTCCTTGAAGTGTTCATTCCAACGGAGTCATCAACGGACCCAGAAGCCTTCATGGCAGTTATGCAGTGGGCTTGTGCTTCACCATCCATGAATGCACTCAAGTTCCAAGGGTGTGTATGTCCACATCGCACAAATGTATCTAAACCTGATAGCATTGACGCAGTAAACACTCTACAGCCAACCCCAAGCCCCATTCAAAGGTTAAACGTCAGCAGGAGCTCCCTCGGCCCGTGCACGGCAGCTTTCATGAGACTTTTAGAGCAAATGCCGTTCTTAAAGAAATTATACATGGAGGATATGAGCTTTGTGGAATCCGATTGGACTGACCTTGTGGAGGTTCTCAAGGGCTGCCAACAACTTCAAGATTTACATCTGCGCGGCAACGTCATGACAAGCAGTGATCTTGAAGCTGTACTGAGACTGATTCCGAGGCTACCGGATCTTCAGTGGTTGATCTTGCCAAAAGTAAGTGGCGAGCTGACCCAAATGGTTCAAGACTGTTTCCAGTGTTGTAAACGCAAATCGAATTTGGTCCCACATGTGTATTGTACATTTGATAAGTCAAGCATTGCACTTCTAGTGAGAGTCGTCGAGCAATACAGCCAACCCTGAGCTCCTTTCAAAAGTTGAGGGTCAGCGGGAGCATCCCTCGGCCCGTGCACGGCAGCTTTCATGAGACTCTTGAAGCAGTGCCAGACTTAAAGGAATTAGACATGTGCGATATAAGTCTTGAGGATTCCGATTGGACAGACCTTGTGGAGGTTCTCAAGGGCTGCAAATAGCTTCAAGAATTAAATCTGCCCCCAAAAATGGCGTCAAAACAGTGGTCTTCAAGCTTAAGTAGGGATAATACCGAGGCTCCCCGATCTTCAGTTGTTGCATGGTCCTGCTAGAAGTGCGCGGTTGGCGCTCCGACACGGTTCTAAACTGTTTAAAACCGTGGTGACCGTAAATCTCCTCCTGGTGAACATTAGGCCTATGCGTACTGTGTATATTATAATCAAGCAATTCAAGTTCTATATAGCGAGTGTCGTCGAGCGATAAAAAATAGCGAAAAATGGGTCATCTTTTTAAGTAATAATAATGCTGTGTATGTCTGTATTGACCACTCTTCGAAAGAAGAGTTACAAATCATGTCCCGTGACGTCATGCCTATATAAGTTGCCTGCCCAAGTATCGTTCTCGTTGTTAAACCATGATCCAATTTAATAGGGGGGGGCCTCGGGGGGTTGTCAATTTTTAATTTTTTTTGTGGGGGAATTTGTTTTTAGTCCCACCATTTGACCATGGTGCTATGTATGCGGCCTATAACATTAAGATCTCGGGGCGGATCTAGGAATATTTGCAGAGGTCGCATTTCATCAGCATATCAATGTTGGCATGTAGACAGGTTTTTCATCGGACACCTGGCCTCCGTAAAATCAATGGGGGGTGGGGGGGGGTGAGGGGGGGTGGGAGCATACCATACTTTCAATGGGGGCGCTGTTCAAATCCAACGATCGTTAACACTATATTACAGAATGGTGTACAAATACCCCCGTAACCCGGCTGGCTCTGTCCGAATGTTTTGCTCAGGTACAGATTATTACCAGTATAATTAACATTACTTTTTATGTATTTCTATGAAGAAGAAAAAATCGAGTCAGAGCTGGGGGTGCTTTCCATCGCCCCCCCCCCCCCGGATCTCCGCCTTAATCTGTATGTTCTACTAATTATTGCACGTATAGGTTTACTGTACACGTAAATGGTGTCAAAAAGAGAGCGACCTGGATTAATGACTTTTTCTAAAAAGGAAATCAAATTTAATACACTAATGAAAGCGTATGTTTTTCCACTCTTCTGAAGAAAGTACTGAAATCAACCCATGCTATCAGAAGTTACGCATGTTTTTTGTTTGTTTGTTTTTTTATTTAAAATAACCTATTTTTATAGCTGTGCGTGGGATGCCATTGGAAGATATTGAGCTGAGTGAGAATTACAGATTACACACAGGCATTCAATTACAAATGAGATCTTATTAATTTCAGTCAAGACTCAAACATATTTTTACTGTCAGATTTTGTGTTTTGAATATCAGAAACATGTCAACTCTTCTTTATTTTGAAATACTGATGCCATGTTTTCCGTTTTCCTCTGCAAGTTTTCGTTCATTGATGGAGATGGGAAAACGTCAATGTTTCATTGTATTTAATGAGTATTCATGCAGTTCGTTGAACGGTAAATGATCGGTGGTGGACAGCTGAATTCTGTGATCTTTTTATTAAAATAGACATAACTTGGAAAAAACAGATATACAAGTTTTATACTTGAAATATTTACAGTTAATAGTCAATGACATGTACTTTGTCCTATATGCTATTTTTATAAAATGGAGCGAGCCACATATTTCTTGCAGATTTTTTTCTCATTCGGTCACGTTCTGTTTGGCACACCCTGAAGTGATGTGAAAAGTCTTCATCTGTATGTTCTAAATGTTGCACGTATACTGTCTATGATAGTGATATAGCTCCTGCTGAGTTTCTGTATTTGATAAAACTGTCACTAAAACCTGATCGGCTTATTGTTTGGAGTAGGCGTGTCCTTACGTCAATACATAGAAATGACAGATTGTGATTGGATTGTAAACATGCTGCATGTATTTCATACTTAATTGTACACCAACTTATGCAGCTATATAAATTTAATATAATAAAATTATTTGTATATAAATCCCATCAATGGAAGAGTAGGATTGAATAAACTCACTTCTTGTTCTGACTTAGAGGCTGGACCAATATAGCAGTCAAAGAAGTTTCCCGTTTTCCAATCATTTGTTGTACAAAGGGTGTGTTCCACTCCTTCCCAAAATGCACTAAGCAATCCACCCGATCAGCCAATCTAATTCTACTGTGGATAATCCACATCATCCACCCTATCCACAAAGTCAACCATGCTGAGTAACCTTGGTTAGGAGTCTCTATGACATCGAAGAGCCATCTCTTAAACCACGATGATGTACCGGATCATCAACAAACTCTTTGACGTCCCTGACAACCATCTAATTCCAATCAACTCATCCACCAGAAGCAACAGCAGAAACTCCTTGTTCAGTCCACCCATACAAACTTACTTAAGGACTCCTTTCCAGACACCATCGGCCTGTACGTGGCACTCACTGCCCCAGCAAGTTGTCGAGTCACCAACCCCCGATGTCTTAATCTTCAAGATCAAAAATCCACCTATCTCTCTTCTTTTAAAGGCAACTGTTTGAGGGTTGCATTTTTTTGTTCACCCGGTAAAGAAGTCAGAGAATCCGATGAACACAAACAATAAGTATTTGGATCGGAGTACAAGATGTATAGGAAGCTATATGAACTGCATGTAGTTTTTTCTTTAATATCTCCATTTTTAACCTTCACCGTGCGCGGGTCGATACTAGGTTTTCGTTTCCATGGCGATATTTTCTCGACAATGTTGAAATATTTCATCCGAATAAATATCAATATCGCGGTTTTTTATAGAAATATGTTAATCAGATCACAAGTGCATAGCTTATGCATACCAGCACAATATACCAGCACAATATACGGGCACACTAAAGATGCTTAACTCAGTGAAATTCTGTTCTGTCATCGCTCTTTTGGAGATGTTTTCTTGCTGGGTGACTCTGGGCTCCATCCCCTGTCCACACCCCTGGCAGACATTTCAAGGGACTGGGTACTACGTGCACTCGGTTCCCATGGCCTGGGCCCAAGCCAAGGAATTCTGCCAGAAGATGAGAGGCAACCTGCTGATGCCCAAGTCATCCGAGGAGAACGCATTCGCCAAGTCGCTGCTGCAGCAACGCCGGGCGACTACAGCGTGGCTTAACTGTCATAGAGTCGGGCAGTGGCTGTGTGAAGTCGATGGGGTGGCGATGTGGCCTCCGTTCAACAACCCGGCCCCAGATCAGCCAACACTCGACGGCAATTGTCTCACTATGAAGGCCGAGGATGGCACATGGCGTCACACCTACTGCGACTTGAATGCGACTACCGTGTGCGAGAGAGAAGCGACGGTACAGCAAGCCAGCCTCGCCATGCACTGCATGACCATAGCGGCAGACGGCCGCCCAGTCACCGACGGGCAGTGCGTTCAGAAGCCGTAGATATCGAACACTGCAATGTCGTATGATAAAATCTATTATCACTGAATGTTCATCAATTACAACATCGAACGGTTATGTGCTACTTTAAACCCAATGACTATAAACGTTTGAAATGTTCACATTTTAAAATTAAATTCACAATTTAAAACAAAAAATAACAATACACAATAAGACGAGGCTGTAAAAATCGAGGAATCCATTAGAACTGTTGAACTTGAACATCTCTGTGTTGATTGTGCGCGAACTTGTGAATGGACTCATGATTTACTTGTCACCGAACTTGATGGACTTGTGATAGACTTGACTACAACAGTTTTTCTAAACTCATCTTTGCTCAATGAACACAGAAGAGAATAATTGATTTGATTTCCACGGACGTCGCCTTAACACTGCAAATGTGTCGACGATCTGTTCATGAATGACTGTGGCTTACAAAGTTTTAACGAAACCCCAAGGAAAATGACAAAACCATCACTAGCATCAATAAAATTACATGTCATTTGTTTTTATCCACAGAAATGGATATTTACTGAAATGTCAAATCTGCTTGTATCGTTCCGTGGATCACGAAGGGAGGAGTTTATCTAAGTCAGTAGCGAGAAGAGACAGCTTTTTGTGTAAATTAAGACCAAACACCACGCGACTAAACACGTACCAGTAAAACGCAGCAATCAGATTGGTTCTAAAAAGCTCACAAAACCATTGCATAATTTACTATAATCGCATTATTCAAATGTAATTTGAAGTAAACAGTCCTGTGAAGATGGACGAATTGAACGGGCAGAATATACGCGTAATAATGTATCTTGGGGAACATTAGTGGAGTGGCTCCTTAAACTAGTTCGGATGTGCGCAACTTTTCATGATAACTGTTCAATTTGTGGCCAATAGTACGCCGCACCGTGCCACCATGAATCGACTACCGTGTGCGAGAGGGAATCGACGGTACAGCCAGCTCAGCCAGCCTCGCCAAGCACTGCATGACCGTAGGGGCAGATGGCCGTCCATGGGCCCAATTTCATTGCTCTGCTAACCATAGAAATACGCGCTTATACGATCATCTTTTGTGCTATTAAACCGCGCTAACAATAAATATGCGCTAACCCCGTAAACACAGAATATTTCGTTACGAAATGTACACATACGCAGAAGCCAAAGTTCCTCGCTATCCCGTGAAATACGCTGCTATAGTAAGCATACGGTAAGCATAGCCATGAAATCCGGTGGCCATTGCGCTCACAACCACGCACCTTAAATTAATTAACACCAATAAACGTTAATTTTGTCTTAAATACAGCAGTGAAAACATCAACATTTGAGCTTCTATTTGCAACTGAAACAATGATGAAATGGCTGGAATTTAAGAAGTTTACTTTTCATCATTTACATGCTGTAAATAATGATAGTAATTGCGTAGTTCGAGGACTTTCGACTCGTACAAACACTGGCCGAGTACACTAGCATAACACACGACAAAGGAAACCAATTAGACTTGATACAGTGCACAAGTCTTATCTGCCGCTATTTGCTTTATTTATAAATTGACTCATGCACTCAACGTAAATTCTCCTTTGTCACACAAGGGACAGTCCTTATATTTAAATATAGATGTTGAAATACAAATGTACTTCAACTAATTATTTGTATAATTGATTCTAATTTATATTGACGATTAAGCTTGGTGACGATTGGTGTGCTAACTTCTTCTTGCGTATGGAACCAAAACAAAGAGGTAGTTAGATCTCTGGCTGCTTGCTGAGAAGCCACTCTTGAGTAGCTGCATCTGCATCAACATCGATTAGGCCATGGTACTCATTTGGGGGGCGATAGAGGGGGCACTTGGAGATGATGTGGTCAGAAGTCTGCTGCTCCGCTCCACATTCGCAAGCTGGGCTCTGGGATAGGCCCCACCTCCACATGTCAGCATTGAAACGCCCGACTCCGGTGCGGAGCCTGTTTAGTTTGACCCATGCCTGTCGTGGGAGATCAGATCCTGGGCAACTTCTGGATGGTACAGGAATGTATCTATGCAGATGGTTAGGGGATGACTGCCACTTCTGTGTCCACATCCTGGCCATCCAGAAGAAGAAGAAGAAGAAGTGAAATAAATGGCCTCGTTGAGGGCGCTACATACTCAGAATTGGTACTGCTGTCACCATTTCTAAAATGTTCGTATTATTATTTCTATCGTGAATTAGCGCTGAAATGATAGATTTCCAAACATATTTTTTACTTTCCAATCCATCTTTACAAACCAGGGGCGTAACGAAGGTCAAACTTGTTGGTGCATTTCACAAGGGGAGATTTTAGGCAGGTGCAGAATAATTTTTGTCAAATCGGCATTACAAATGGGGACGTCAGGGGCGCGGAACGGATATGAGGGCGCTTTTCGAAATTCACGTCAATGGCAAACCATTTTTTCCCCAGCGGAACTGCAAAAGGGTGGTTGATGAACCTATAATGAGCGTACTGTAACGATTAGAATATAATATTATGGCGTACATCCGTATTGGGGAGTGTAGGTGACCCGACCACAAACCAAATCAAAAATAGCTCCTCCGTGGAAATTCAAAAATGCTTAACAGCATGTGACTCAGGGGTTCATTGAACACAAATGGTGTACGTATAACATGCAATGCTAACTTGTGCGCCTACGTCAGTGGCGAAAATCTGTGCCGGACTCCTGGAAAGCAACCTCAAATAAGCAATATTTGTCCTCAGTACAAATTTCTTGGCGCCATGGGTATCGCCAGGATTTTCTCTAGAGAGGGCAAAGCACTCATCAGAAGCGTTAAAAAGGTCACCGGCTTCGGAAAATTGAAATGCGGGGGGGGGGGAATTTTTTTGACGCTTTGAGGCGCTGTTCATTATAAACGTTTACATATGTATTTATGTACATAAAACGCATTTAGGTTCTTTTGGGAGTTCCTTTACTGCTAAAGATACATTAAATTAACAGTAATATAAACGAAACCCCTCAGTGAAAAAGTTTTGCCAGTTATAAGTTGTTTGGGCTCGAAGGAAAACTTGATTCAAAAACAATTAAAATATTAACTTCCTCAGTTGTGGCACAAGACTTTTTAGCCGGCTTATATTTTAGATTACAAACTAACAGTAATATTTACAAAAAGAACAATGGCAATAAGGATATGAAAATAGATAAACTGACTAGTTGCTTCCTGCTACTGCGCAGGACACAACGTCGTCCTATAAATGTGACGGAAATACTGGACTACCTCCGTATTTAATGTCACACATCCCACCTGTGGTATAAACACGGAGCGTGGAGCGTCCCGTTGCTAGGGGAGCCCGAAAATTAATTAAAGATTGAAAAATTTTTGTTAGCAGGAAAGCAGCCAAGCTATTAGTATAACTGCTAAATAGCACAAAATCGTTAAATTCGGTACCTTCAGATGTCTAGTTATTAAAAAATCATGGTAATTCGTCAAAGAATGCAGACGGTTTTGAAAAAGCAGGGCGTCTGTGATATTTACCAGACTGTTTCCCGGCCACCCTAATTATAGTCAAAAGGCCAATGGGATCAGGTAACCAGACAAGAGCTTTGGTCATCTACTGAGCGTGCGTCAACGTTGGCAAAGCGCACCGCGGCTGTTGCCTGTCATTCCAAAATCTTTGAAGCCCTCTGCAGTTAAGCACGCCCTCTTGTGTGCGCTCTTCATCTGCGGCCGCGTATTGCATCCGGGTCTTCAAAGAGCGCCAAAACAAAAACATGACGAGGATGAAAAAGCGTAAGCATTGCTTACAACATAGTAAAATACTGATGAATTTTGTTTAGCACAACTGTCATTCTCTTCATATCTATCCATCATTGGGGCAAATTATTCATTTACTAATTAGGACCTTCGAATTGTATCTTAAAATTCACTTGAAGTTGTGAAACGGTGATCACCTTTTGTAAAGATGAACGAATAGTATATATAAATGCATCGCGCTACCAAGTGCTGAAGCCTCCAGTAGCCATGAGGAGAAAACTGAATGTTTTTGCAAAAAAAGCTCCTGTAACGCGCGCAAATAAAGGTTGCTGCGAAACTTAAATTTTCGGGCCGTTTGTCACCCTAACAAGCAAAAATACTATGAATAAAACTCTGTAAAACTTAGTAAAAGAATTCGAAAAGAATTTAATCAAATTAAACAATTAAACCAAATAAACAAGGAATTAAATCAATCGAAATGTTAAATGAAAAGTAAAGAAATAAACGCTTAACTGGGTATTAATCAAGTAAACGGAATAACAAGGAACAAAATTAAATCCAAAACAAAACACCAAGAAATATCAAACAAATTATGTTACAATCCACCTGTCTTCAACTCTTCAACTTAGGCCTATTTCCTCAAATCCAATCTTCAAATTAACTTTCCAAATCAAATCTCCAAATAATACTTCAAATCAAATCTTCAATCAATACCTAACAAAGTATGGTGGGCCCACCAATATTTTCGCGAATCACGCGTTGTCGGCTCCTCCGGTCGGTTCCCGGTTGTCCCTTGGACTTGAAGGCCTTGAACCCTCCAGAGACTGGGCAGCTTTCTGTCTCAGTTGTTTCAAGCAGGCACCGTCTGTGCTTCGGCTCGCCGTGTTGCTTGGCCGGGGTAGGGTTCTTCTTGATCGGGAGCTTCAATCCGGGCCCATCAGGCTATGCCAGGTAACGCCTTGCTCTGGCGCACTGACCCTGAGCCATCTGAAATTTATAATTTCAAAACCTAAAACGTCTTTATTCTGTAATAATAGATACTTCCACTAAACAGCATATTCCGTATTTGACCAACCAAATCATAAAAATAACCGTCATCTGCGCAGACATACTCAAAATTCCATTTGAACTTGAAATAAAGTTATCGATTCTAAAACCATGATCCAATGACATAATCTATAATTTAATCGACCAATAAGTTATCCAAAATTCTAATAAAAACTTAGAAAGTCATATGACGTCATAAAAATAACTACATGTACGCACATCGGTGCTAACTGAAACTAT